ACTATTTAAAATAAATGCCGTCTTGGACCATTTTTTCTATTACAAGAACACACTGTGACATAAGAGCTGTTTTGGACTTGGAAAAAACTAAATTTATTTCTTTACATGCCCTCTCCTACCTCTTTAAGGAAATGAGCAGGTCTGCGTTCCTAAGAAACGAAGATACAGTAAAAGGTGAACTTAGCCTACTATATCTTTGGCTCATGTACTCTGGCCAAAGAAGGTAAGAAGGTAAATACGTTAAGTGTTACCAGAGTCATCTTTAAATCCCTAAATAAAACAACAGACTCATACACACCATAAAAGCCCATCTGGTCTTAAACAAAAGAACACATTTACAATTAAACCCCTACTCACTTCATCCTCTTCAAACCCTCTTAGATCTTACCTGACTTTAAAATCATTAAGGTTAACTATGGAATACACTTGCATATTTCAGAGAATGCTGTCCATACTTTAACAGTACAGTACCTTCAATGGGAGAAATGTGGGGTCCCAGAGGCCAAGCCTACAGTGTAACAGCTGACAATACCACCAATTTCTGTGGTGTGTATGGTATATCCTAGCACATCATACATAAAATGCTATGCGACTAGCTTAGTTTGATTTCCTTTTAAAAGGAGTCGTCTTGGAACTATTCATCTGCCTTAAGGAGGATGCCTTTGTGCAAAACACTTTTAACTTCTCTTTTATGAACAATACTATGGTGGCACCTGTGAACAGCCACTGCACTCCAGCCTGTGCAACAGATCTTCTCTCTAAACAAACTAAAAAAGCCAAAATAGAGGTAAACTTTCCTTCCTAATCTACAGTACTTTTTCTTGATAAGTCTTCAGTTTATTCTCCCAATGGAGTACCTAACTCCCACTGGTCCCAGTCCTCTGGTAGAGTGCCTAAGAAAACCTTCTACCCCCCACCATCTTGGCTGGCTCCCCTGACAATCTCCCAAGTGCAACAGGCACTAGCGCCACCTCAACAGATTCTAAGGCTTCAAGAGGGAAGGGGATGCTCTCTGTCTTGTTCACTGATTTCTCAAGCCCCGGCATACTGTTGGGTAGTCAAATATTTATTTAATAAACCAGTGGATCTGTAAGCCAGGGCTGTTCGACGCAGTACCCACTACCCACTTGTCACTTTTGTGCACCTGAAATGTGGACAATACTGAGAAAATGTCTTTTATTTTAATCAGTCATCCAGCCCTGGCCTGTCTGTGGCAAGAGGGCCAAAGCCTAAGTTCATTACTTGAGAAGTCAACAACTGCTCATACACACGTATCTTTAAAGCAACATACTATATGAAAACGCCATATGCTGGGAACAGTGGGCCAGCTTTATTTTCAAGAAGGTAAAACACTACTGTGAAGTATTTTAGTAGACCTTTAGTTTGATCACATACTCAAGGATTCAAATTCTAGATTTCAAAGCATCTCGAAGACCCATATGTGTATTTTCCTTATGAGAAACTTGGCTAAATTTATCTGCACCATGTTCTACTGATCTGCCATTATGAGGCAACCGAACAGTCTAGAACTATAAACTCCAGGTGAAAACAGAGTGGTTCAGGTTTTACACCGTGAAACCACGGTGTAACCATTCACCACACTAGCACGTGGCAGCCACAAAATGTCTGACGGTCGGTGATGGAAGGAGCGCACACCGGTGGAGCCCGACCTGGAAATGTCGAGTCGCGCGCTCTCGGGCCCTTCAGGGCACACGGCCACCGTGCGGTGGAGCCCGGCCGGTCCCTCACCACTGCTGACCTCAAGGACTAGTGAGCGAGAACGCCAAGCCGAGCCGGCCAGGTAAAGCCTCGTTGACTAATCCCTACAAGTTTGCAACTTGTTCACCACCGCACTTGAGTACCGAAACTCGGCCCTTCGCTAGACCCGCGCGGCGTGCGGTGCCCTCCCGGCCGGAGAAAGCCACTCACCGCGGAGGGAGGCGGGCAGCTGCGCGGCCCCTCCCCGCGCGGCGGCGGGAAGCCGCGCTAACTCGCCGAGAGATCAAAGAGCCGATCCTTTCAGGCCCGCCCCACGCACACGCAGCCGCGGCGCGCGGGGGCCGCTCTCGGGCAGCGCAGCGCGGATGGCGCGCGGTCGGCGGCGCCAGGCCACGCTCGAGCACGTGCGGGGGCAGAGGCCGCATAGCCCCGCGCGCCCGGCCCGAGGCGGAGGCGGCCGCCTGCCGTGGCCCTTTTAAGGAGGAGGGAGGGTTCGGCAGCGCGCCCACAACGGAATGAGTCGGCGGCGGCCGCATCGCGCGGCCCCGGCCGTGCGGGCCGGGCGCCGGCGAGTAACAGACCGAGGGCTCAGCCCGGGAACGGGCGGCCGGCAGCCAGCGCCGAGGGCGGGCGGGCGGATCCCACGCGCCGGCTCACCCAGCGGAGGGAGACGGGCACCCGCCAACATGGCGCTGTGCAGGCCTGCGGCGCGCCCGGCTGGCGTGAGGCGCCGCCACCCGCCCACACCGAGGGGCCAGCCTCCCGAGGCAGGGGCCCCCGGGCTCCGCGGTGGCGGCGCCAGGGGAGGGCGAAGCCGCCGCCACAACGGTTGACTCGGGTAGACCTGGACCGGACCGGAGTAGGGGAGGCCGAGAGCGAAAGGGGAGTGAAGCAAATAACGAACAAAGTTTTATTTTTAGGCTTGAAAAATGGCGGGAACGGCGTCCTTTTTTCAAAGTTGGCCTCGGGAGGGGTGGCGGTAGCGCCACCTCCGCCGCCTGGGCCCGCCCCTCCCCCGCTCTGCGCGCCAGGCCGCGCCCGCCCAGGCCCCCAGGCGCCCGAAGGGGGCTTCTCGCCCCTTTCAAAGGAATAAAGTCCCCCTCGCCTCACGGCCCCTGCCGTCGGCCCAGCCGGCGCCTACTGCGAGGCCCGGTCCGGGAAACCCCCCGCCCCCTCCCCGGCCGGCCCGGGACGCGCGGAGCTTAGCTTGGCCTGGCCGGCGGCGGGCCCAAGCGAGGCTCGCCGCGCAGCTCCTCGGCAGGCCCAGCCTCCGCCCGGTCGCGCATCCCGGAGACTGCAAACATGGCTCCCAGCGTTACACAACCCCCGCCTCCCTCCCTCGCCGCCGGCCACTCGCAGACGCGCTCCCGGGAATAAACCCTGGCGTGCGATGAGCTCAAAGTTTGCTTTCCCCCACTCTCTGCCTTCCCTGGGCGGCCGCGGGGCCCTACGGGCGGCAAAGAGTTAATCCCCGCGCGCTCGCTCCCCCCTTCGCGTCCGCCCGCCTTCCCCGTCCAAGCCCGCGAGCTGCGCCCTTCCCCGCGCCGGAGCAGGCGAACCCGCGGCCCGAGCCCCGCAGGTGGCCACCATTACATGCAAGTCATCGGGGAGGGGGCGTCCGACGGGGGCTCTGCTTACCGCTTCCGGGGTCCTGTTCCTCAGCTCCAGGTGGATCCTCTTCTTCATGTCCATGTTCCCCTCTTCCCCCCCTTCAAACTTAACTTTCCGCGGCGGGGGCGGAGGGGGGAGAGGCGTCCTGGCCTGCGCAGCTAGGGCCGTCGGAAGTGGTCTACTCGTGGCAGAGGCCGGCGGCGCGGTCCCGTGCGGCGTGCGAGCGGGCGAGCGGAGCCTCCGGAGCCAAGTTACTCGCGGGAGCGGAGAGAAACCATGGAGGGAAAAGGGGGCTGGAGCGCAGCGCTGGTCTCACTACCGCCGCCACCGGTCACGGCCCGCACTGCGCTTAAACCGGCGACGCGACGCGGCGCGGCGGCTGCTCGGCTCCACTCGGCCCCGCGCGTCGCCGCTCGGCTCAGCTGCCCCGGCTGCACCAAGGACGGGGCGGGGAGACGCGCGGCGGGAGGGGCGGAGGCTGGGGGAAAGGCGCAGCCCGGGGGTGTGGAGCGACTTCCTCCGCCCTCTGACTGCACGTGGGGCGGCTGATGTAAGACAGGCCTCGGGGGCTTCTGCGCCCGTCACGGGCGAGACCCCCGGGTCCACCTTGCCTCTCCCGACGGCAGGTCCCTGGCTGGGTCCGGGACGTTCGCGGGGGAAGGTCAGTGGGAGACCATCCAGTCTGCCTTTGGAGGCTGCCCGAGGCCGATGCGTTCGCAGAGGCTCACCGGGGCCGGCCCGACGCCCGCGGAGGCGCGAGAGCGGAGAGAGCCCAGACTGAACAGGCTTTGAGGTTCGCTGTTTGCCTCCCACCCAGTCTGGGGCGAGCATATCGAACCCCTGTGTCTCCTTGGCAGAGCGGTGTTCGAAGTGCTGCCGGGGACCCTCCTCGCGACTGAGTCGGCCCGAGTAGTACCGCGTGGCGCGGGGTGGAGTCAGCTTTCGAGGGCTGTGCGGGGACGCTCGCCGGGGGATAGGGCCGCCTACCTAAGCCGCAGAGCAGCCGAGCGTCCGCCCTGGTTTGGGAGAATCGCCCTTGGTTTTCTAACATTTTAACGTGAACTAGCAAAGGAAACTATTAGCATTTCTAATAAGGCCTCGGAGTTTTCTCGTAGGCTTTTATCTCATTTATTTCTTATGGCCCCCCGTGAGGTGTGTAAATTCTTGATGGGCTCGTTTTCTGAAGCCTGGCAGGCAGCCTTTGTAATGGTCTGGCTCAAGAGTCCCAGGGGGTTAGAGCACCAGATTAGGGTGAGTGCTTGGCAGACCACCTGGGAGTAAAGTTATATTGGGCTTAAAGTAAGTAAATGCATGATGTGTCAAATCAGATGGCGTCTTATTTCTAGTGTAGACAAGAGGCAGCAAAAGTTAAGAAGGATTTTATTCCGTAGAAGGATGGGGAGAGGGAGCAGGGAACAATTTTTAGAGAAAAACTTAAAATTCTGTGCGATAACCTACCTAAAGTTTTATAGAAGTTAAGAAAGCCCTCCTCCTTCCCATTTTACCTAAGTTTTGGTGGCAAACAGCCCAAACTTATTTTTAAGCCAATCATACAAGTTCTTAAAATACTGAAAGAATTAACATTTGAGAACGAAAGTTTTAGAAGGGTTATGGAAAAAGGCAAAAACTTCCTAGTATGTAGGTTTTTGACCCCTGCTGTAGACTTAACGGAAATCTTTACGACAAGGTAAAACGAAGTGAGATGTTCTGAGGTTACAAGAGGTCACTACAAGAAGGCTTTGACTGTTCCATGGACTAACAAGCAGTTACCCAGCATGATATTCTCATTTAATGCTCAGACAGTCTTGTGAAGTGAGTGATAATTTACTCATTTTACAGATGAGGAACTGACTCAGAACCTTCAACTGCAGGGCCAACCAGAGGTGGAGCTAGAGTTTAGACCCAAAGGGTCTGACTCCCAAACCTGTCATCTTTTCTGCTATATCATCAGTCTGGCTGGAGTGGAGACAGAATGAAGGACTGCTATGGATTAGTAGGTTGGAAACAGTTACAGATGGCTTATAATATCAAACAAAATGTAGGTGTCATCTTGTAGGAAAAGGGGAGATGCTGAAGGAATTTTAAAAGTATGGGTCTGGCTCAGCGCCTATAGCTCAACCGGCTAAGGCGCCAGCCGTGTACACCTAAGGTGGCGGGTTCGAATCCCCAGCCCGGACCCGCCAAACAACAATGACGGCTGCAACCAAAAAATAGCCGGGCGTTGTGGCGGGCGCCTGTGGTCCCAGCTACTTGGGAGGCGGAGGCAGGAGACTCGCTTGAGCCCAGGAGTTGGAGGTTGCTGTGAGCTGTAATGCCATGGCACTCTACCCAGGGGGACAGCTTGAGGCTCTGTCTCAAAAAAAATAAAAAAATAAAAAAATAAATGTATGGGTCTGTGCTGGAGAGAGAGGTAACCTGGTGGCTCATGGAAGAAGTATTGATCCTTAGGTGGCATCAGGGTGAGATCCTGCCCTCTTTCCATGGCCAACTGGACAGTATGAAGGACTTTTTCACCATGATACAGAGCTCACAGATAAATGAATGTTTTATAGTACATGTATTAAGTTACAAAATGATTAATGAACGTAGCCACTATGTGGAGCAAATAAAAAGAAAGTGAAAGAGCCAAAGGAGAGACTACAGACAGGGCACTGTCCCTTCTTACGCAGCCGGTGCTGGCATGCACCTCTGTGAACAAAGAGCATGTGTTCCAGTGACATGCTTCTTTGTCAGGGGCTTTACTGCCAGAGGCATAAATAACACAGGCAGAACAGGGTGTGTCTCACTGCCCTGCCAACATCTTCTACAGGACTGTCAGTCTACAGGGCTGAAGGGACTGTTGTCATAAGGTCCAGGTTTTGAATATTGCTGCACTTACCAACATTCTGTGTAAGCATCTCTGTGTGAAAAAGATGTAGAATATGTAATTGTATCTAACCCACAGGTACTATGGATTTGAACAAAAAGCTAGAAGGGGATAAGGAAAAGTAAAAATAGCTTAGTTTGTTAGGAAGACTGAACTATGGGTGAATTTCTTTTTACTTCCATTTAAGTTGATATTTGACCAATAAGTAATAAAAATACCACGTAATCCCAAGTTTTGGCACCCCTTCGAGTATTCATACTGCCTGTTAATCAGAATGGGTGTGTAATTCATTTTAAGCTCTAAAATGTCTGAGAATGCTCTGAGCTAGTTTGTGACTCCTTGGACCCGCTTCTCCCCCTAAAGCCTCAGCAACAGCATGTTATTTGTCAAGTCATCAGATGATCTACGCCTTCTACAAACTTTGTGGCTGTGGATACTTTTCTAAATCTGAAGATGAGCGGGAACAACCACATTACGGCATTGGTTTAACTGGCTGTGAAACCAGTTTAGCAGATGGGCACTTTTTCGCTTTAGTGAAGATAGTATGTGAAACTGATGCATAATATAGAGTGAGGTAATCATTACTCTTTAGATACGAAATACTTTCATTCTTCCCATCATCTTCTGTATACATGTGTGTACACTGGTAAGAACAAATCTTCCCTGAGTTTCCACAGCATGGTATGTGTTCCTCTGTTAAGCAGTAGGTAACAAATGGTAGTTGTTGAAGGATCTAACTCTTTAACTAGACTGTGAACTCATACAAATATTTCTGGATGATAAGAATGTAAAGAGGGAACTTGGAGCCATATATAGAATATAGGAGATGCTTTGCAAATGTGTTGAAAACAATGTCACATGTGCTAAAAAATGCCATCCAGACAGCTGAGATTATTGAAACAGTTGATAGGATAGGACAAATAGGTGAAAATGGGTTAAGGAATGAGATCTTAGGAGTCTCCACATGGTAAATGCAGAGAAGGGGAAAGTGTCAGGTGTGCAGGCAGCTCCAGGTCCTGTAAGGGTCCCCTGCTAAGGGAACCAGGTTCTTTTCTGCTCTCTAACACCAGCTATAGTTGCTAAGTCTTCCTGGGGTGACAAGGGACAGCTGGAGTGCTAATATTTATTAAGCACCGTCTTATGCCAAGAACTGTGCTTGGGACTTTCATGTACATTGCCTCTCAGTTAATCCTGGCAACAGTTTTCTGGGACAGGACTATAATCCACCTTTTTTAGTATTTGGGAAACAGACTCAGCAAAGTTAAGTGAGTTTGCTGAAATTCATGGTTAATATGCTGGATTTCTCTGTCATTCTCTGTAATTCATTCTCAATACTTTGATCCACTGGTCCTCACAACTGCTATATATATATATATATATATATATGTGCATGTGCATGTGTGTGTATATATATATATGCATATGTGTGTGTGTATATATATATATATTTTTTTTTTAAAGAGACAGTCTCATTTTATCGCCCCTGCTAGAGTGCCATACCATCACAGCTCACAGCAACCTCCAACTCCTGGGCTTAGGCAATTCTCTTGCCTCAGCTTCCTGAGTAGCTGGGACTACAGGCGCCTGCCACAATGCCTGGCTATTTTCTTGTTGCAGTTTGGCCAGGGCCGGGTTCAAACCCACCACCCTTGATATGTGGGGCCAGTGCCCTACCCACTTGCTGAGCCACAGGCGCCACCTGAAAAAAATATTTTTTACTTTAAAAAGATTTAAATGCTTATTTTTCAGGAAATATTTTAAGAAGTTATAAAATTAAGTTTCCACCATTAAAGTATAACCAGCATTAAGTTAAATATCCTTGTGGCTTTTTTCTATACTATACAAATTTTGGAGGGGGGGGTTGTGTGTTTTTGTTCCTTTTTCCTTTTTGTTTTATTTACATATTTTTTAAATGTTGAAGTTTTCTTTTAAGAAACTTGGTGTTTCCACCTACTTGTGGAATAGCTCTGTATAAATGTATAACTTCATTCAGTGGTTTTCCCTTGTTAGAGAAGGACTCCATTGAGAAGGGAATCCCATTCCATCACTTACTGGCTGCATGCTTTAGCATAAACCACACAACCTCTCCTGGCCTCAGGCTGCTGTGTTAGGACTGTTGTGAGGATCAGACATGATCGTGTGGGTGAAGCTCCTACCTGGTACAGTCTTGGCACTGTCCACTGTGCCCCAGCCATGGTCACTGTGGGCCTGAGTTCCTCCCTGAGCAGGATCCTAGATCTCACCGGCCTCCTCCAAAGCTAGTAAAGTTCTGCTGTGGCCATTAGTCCTCCACCCCTCCTCCATGTCTTTTGTTTCCTGTAGTTACCCTACCCTCTTTGGCTGAGGGGGGCAGGGATCACCCTAAACAAATATGTTTTTGACTTTTAAATGGTCAGACTCATTTTCTGTTTTGTACAGTTTTTGCTCTCTCTTGAGGAACTTGGAAAATTCCCCTGAGCTAAATTGGAAGATACCTGAGTGCGCTTCTTCGTAATTAGCCAGCATTACCACCATTTGGACCCTCTTCTACCTCACAGGGATTCCATTGTCCACACAAAACTAAGACTGATCT